TCCGCACTGCGCAGCGCGGGGGCGTGCAGCTGGTCTGTGCACACCATGCTCTCGAGCACCTCGGAGAGCACCTCATGCTCGAAGACGCTGCGGTCCCCGCTCGACACACCAGATGTCGCCCTCCACGACGCATGCTGAGACACTGGCGTCTGGGACCTCTCGACATAGGTCTGGCACCTCCAGGACACTGTGCCAGGACCCTCAAGCCCTAAGCCTCCCTCGGGCTCGTCGGGCACGAAGCTGGCGACGCCATCCTGGAAGAGCCTCCTGCGCCTCCCCATGCCATCGAACTTCACGGGCATCACCCTGAGGTCGTCCATCTTGAACTCATCGATGCCGTCCTGGGGGATCATCTGTAAGAACGCCGTGCTGCCGTCCGCCATGGGGACGACCGCCCTCTCGCCCAGGACCACTGATCCCGCGGGGAGCTCCTCCATGCCATCGCCCTTCTGGTGGCGGCCGTGGTCCTCGGCGAAGACCCATGCGCGGCCTGGCTCGGCGCGTCTGGCGGCCGCCCCGGCGGGCCGGCCTAAGCCCTGCCGCTGCACGTTCCGCATCGGGGCCGCCAGCGGGGCGGGCGGAGGCGCTGGTGCTGCCCCCAGCATGCCCTGCGCCTCTGCGAAGAGCCTCTGGCGCTCATTGGGCGGCACGTTGTGTCGGAAACGATAGATCTGATTCTCTGGCACATGGGCGGGGCGACCTCCTGGCAGCCCGATCCAGTACACCGCTTCGATGTCATCCCCAGGCGCTATATTGAACTGATAGTGATCCTGGTCGGCGGTGTACAGGGTGACCTCAGTAGGATCCTCTGGGCTGACCCCTGTGATCAGCGTCTCGTGATACAAGTCCTCGTCGACCCCATTGTACTTAATAAGGATATAGTCTCCCCTGGCTGCCATATCTACTGCTGCTTGTGGCGGCCAGTCTCACGACGGGCGCGGACGGCTGCTACCTGCTCAGCGGCGAGCCGCCGCCGCCTCTCGTCCAGCTCGGACGAGCTGGCGTGCTGGCCGTTCGCACCTCTCTGGCCACGCGTCCTCCGGGCACACCAGCACCCGAGCAGCACTCCCGCGACTGTGGCAACCAGCAGCGGCAGGAAGAGGATGGCGAAGATGCCGTCCTCCAGCAAGGGGTACACCTCCCTGATGTCGGGGACCGACGGGCACTCCACGATCGGACAATCAGTCTCGGGGCACTCGGGTCTGGGGCAGACCACCTCTGGGCACTCGCAGACCACCTCTGGGCACTCCTCCTCGTGCCCTGGGTAGCCTCCTCCGCCCCCAGGAGAGGCGGACTCCTCAGGCCCTCGCACGGCCTGCCAGACGAGGGCAGCCCAGCCCGGCAGCCCTGCTATCGCGGCAGCGTACAGGGCCTGGAGGTCTGGGTCGAGCATACACCCAGAAAGAACTGAAGCCAAAGGCTATGGAACACAGACAACGGCGTAGTGACTGGAGGCATTCACGCTTGGCTGATCATATATATATATATATATACATCTATATACACATCACGTGTCAAGCCGTTCTCATGTTACGACGATGGCAGCAACGATCAGGAAACGGATGGACAAGATTATTCGACGCACTTGCATGTGTCAGCATTGCATTGGGTTGCAGGGCTTTGCGCTGCAACGCATTGGTATTCCATCGAGTTTACGCTGTAGCACGGTGTCTTGCATTGTGTAAGAACGGCTTTGTTGCAAATCAACGCCTTGTGTGTCTTTCCGTTGCGTCGCTTTGACTTGTATCGCCATGCTCTGAATTCAGTTCGCTGGGCTACAGCGCTTCAACATTCATCCCGTTGCATTGATTTGCAATGCGTCTCATGGATTGCCATGCATTTCAACATCTCGTTTGCACCGCAGTGCCTTGCACGCTGTGAACTGCAACGCTCTGCGCTGCTTTCCCTGTTAGGTTGCAATGGTTGACTTGCAATTCGTCCCATGGATTGCCATGCGTTTCAACATCTCGTTTGCACCGCATGGCCTTGCACGCTTTGAACTGCAGTGCTCTGCGCTGCTTTCCCCGTTAGGTTGCAGTGGTTGCAGGACAACATATGATGTGCTGGTTGCCCTCCCGTTGAGTTGCATGGAGTTGCTTCGCGCGTCTTTTCACCGCATTGCATTGCCTCTGGACATTCACAGCATTGTGATGTATCCTTGGCTTGCAACTCATTCCAACATCTCGTTTGCACCGCAATGCCCTGCACGCTTTGAATTTGCAGTGCTCTGCTGCATTGCTTGTCGTCTCGTTGAGTTGCATGGTGCTGTGTTGCGCGTTTTTGCACTGCATTGTGTTGCCTTTGATTCGCGCAACGTGGTATCAGGAGAAGATAGACACGCATGGGAGGACGAGGCGATTGGGAATGAGTCTCTTGATGCGGACAAGCGAAAAGACGTGATTCCTAATGATGAGGACTATGATGAGCAGGAGGATCAGGATCAGGAGGAAATAGAAGAAGGCGTAAGCAAGATCCGGAGGGAATAGAAGAAGAAGGGAAGCGCATGATCAGGAAGAGGGAGGAGATACGAAGGATGAGGGGGAACAGGATGTACATTGTATCAGTGTGCTGTGTTGTGCTACCAGTCTGCTGCATCGCATTGCATTGCATGGTACGGCGTTGCTTTGAACAGCGTTGCGTTGCAATGCGTAACATTGCCTTCCGTTGTATTGCATTACTTCGCTTTTTAGAGCAATTGTACGTGTATTGCGTTGCACAGCATTGCACTAGCTTGCACGTCTCCCAACTTGCACAGCATTGACTTCGGTTCCTGGTGTAATGACTCGCAGCGTTACCCTCCGTTGCCTTGATCTGTGTTGCCTTCGGCCGCGGTCACTCAAGTTTGCTTGGCGTAGCGATGTGTTGCATTTGCAATGCGCTGCGGAGTACTGCAGCCAATGCAACGCTATGCAAACCGCGTGCGCTGTAATGCGTGTCACTTCTCTGCAGCGCACAGCAGGGCAGCGCACGCCAACGCGAACGCAAAGCGAAGCAAGGCAGCGCAGACCCATGCAACGACACGAAGAGAAGTGCTGCAACTGCGGTGGGTTGCGAGGCAGAGCATCCAGGTCCACGCAGTTCCATCCAACACGAGGCAAACACTGTAAACCGTGACAATTGTTTAGCTTGCTGTGAGGTCGTCCTGGGCTTCGGCTTGCTGTGCCCAATGGCCTCGTCGATCGGTTCCGACTGTATTGCAAGTTCATTGCACATGATTCATCAAACGTGTCTTCAGCTACGTCTAGCTCCAAGGAGTGGCATGCCAGGGGAACGAGGGACAAGATCACCAGGACAGGAGGATACTGCGGGTGAGAGTGACTGCCAGATGCGGATGGGGGTCGGCAGGGGCAGGATCAGGAGGGGGGGGGATGAAAACGTTTTGGGGATGAGGCAGTTGAGGGTTGAGGTCGCGATGGTGACGAAGATGAAGACAATAATAATCAGGATGATGCGGGTGGGGAGAAGGACGAGGGGGTTGAGGATGATGACCAGGAGGAACAGGGGGCGCGAGAAGGGTCAGATAATAAGTGGAAGGAGGAAGAAATGGCATTACGCCACGGCGCATCGTATTGCAATGCTTTGCGCTGTATTGTATTGTATTGCATCACATGGTGCTACATTTCGTTGCTTTGCATTGCTTTGAATTGCGGTGCATTGGATTGCGTTGCACTGCGCTGCGATCAATTCAATTGCATTCGATTTGATTGGCGTGTAAGTGCTTCGTGTTGCACTGCACCCACGTCTACGCGATGCGCAGCACTGAACTAAAGTTGCGTTGCGTGGCCTGTCTTTTGCACCAGAGCGGAGAATGAAGAATATGTGTGCTTTGCTGTGCACTGCTTAACGGTGTATTGTGTCGCAATGCCTCGCAATGCCTCGCATTGTAGAGTATTCCAGCGCGTCGCATTGCAGTGGGATGGTTTTCATTGCGTTACTTCTTCTTATTGCGTGGCATTGCGCTGAATCCAACTGGCGAATAGTGCGTGCACCTCAATGCGTTGCACATTGCACTGCCTTTCAGGCCTTCGCAACGCATTGATTATATTGACTGTGATTTGCATTGCACTGCAATGTACCGCAAAGCAGGGCAGGCGATCGAATGCAACGCAATACAATTGCATTGCATGGCGTTGTTGATGTGGGCGAGAAGGAATGCGAGAACCAGGAATATGGTTCCCAATTCAGAAACAGCGGCCAATGCAATCCGCAGCGCCCAGTTGCTGTATTGGCACACGGGCAAAGGTCTCTGGACCGAGATGGGTTCCACGCTCCGCTCAAATTGTGGGCGGAGGTAGGTTCCTTACTGAGCAGTCCTTGACGGTGCGAGTGCGGCCCCTTGTTCCAAAACCATGCCGAATCATCATTCATCCGAACGCCGCGTCCGCAAGCACCGATGCCATCTCCTTGTGGGGGATCGCGATCCAAGGTAGATCTTTAGGGACATCTGTGTGCACACACGTGCACAGGACACTCCTCCTCCTGGGGGAGGGAGATTGGTGGGGGCAGGCGCAAGAGGAGGAGGAGGAGGAGGAGGAGGAGGAGGAGGAGGAGGAGGATTAGGAGGAGGAGGAGGTGGAGGAGGGGGAGGAGGAGGAGGAGGAGGAGGACGAGGAGGAGCAGCAGCAGAGGGGGCGCACGCGTGGCTGCCTCTCTCACCTCCCTTTCCCCTGCCGGGTCCAGGGACACTCACAAACAGATGGACACAAACATCAGGATTTCCCTGATTCTCCTATATCTCTGGATTCTCGTCTTCCCCTTACTTCCCGTATGTTCCCATACTTTCGGGGGAATCGAAGATTAGTTGTGTCTGTATGTTTTCTCTCCTCCTGAATGTAAAATGCGAACTCCTGGTTGGGACAACCGCGCACGTCGACATCGTCATGCCCTCTCCCTTTCTCGAGTGAGCCTTTCTGCTCATTCCTTAACTCTGTGCAAATGCAGAACGCTAGCAGTGTCCAGCGACGCGCAAGAGAGCAGTATAGACAATCTAAGGCAAGCGCCTCTAAATTATCAGGTCGGTCAAACAGCGCAGTCCGTACTGCAGCCTCGAACCTCAACGAACAGGCGGACAGCATGAGATAAAGGGGCGCAGTGAGGATGACTTCTTAGACCAGGACGTGGTCAGCAAGGATGCGCGAGCGGAAGGACATGGAATGGCGAATTGTGCACAACGACAAGCAGAAGCATGCAGCAGACATGAGTGCTTTCTCATGGAGAACCAGGCGACGGACAACTAGAAGCCACGAGGAAGGAGCGACCGAATGAGGTCGAGCACGCTCGGAGTGGGGCGGAGACGACTCCAATCTTCACAGACAGCACTACTTTGTCCTTCCTTGGCTGTAGTCTCGCTAATTGTGACGATCCACAGCGGGGGGGGTCAGTCAGAAGGAATGGAGCAGAGAGGAGGAGGATGAGGATGAGGAGGAGGAGGAATCTGATGCAGCTGCCGAGGTCAAACACTCCTCTTTCTCGATGTTGCCGTTGCGATTGGAATCGAAGCTGCGCATGTCGATCGTGAACTCAAAGTTGTGTTCCTGTCAACAACATGCTCGACGGTTCACAAGCTTACACATGATACACATCCGAGGCGTGCCGCGTCACAGGTGCAGCTTTGGGAACGCATCTCCCCAATCCCACCAACCCTCTGGGCGGATGTGGTATAGAGCTTTGCCTTTTCCACATTCCCCTTTCGTCCCTTTCGGGGACGGGTGCATCACAGCCGTCATATCAATAAACACCTCCTCCCCTACCTGACCGGCTGCCAAGCTGGACCCATGAGCCTATCCCCCCACCTTCCCGATCAAAAACCGCTACAAAATACAGGATACCCCAAAGTCTGAAGCATGCGATGGCGCCCCGCGACCACTTTGCATTCGTTTTTGACAGGGACGGCGGGGCGGGGTGCCGACAGATGGCTTGCCCCCCTCAGGCCGCCCGCAGCCAGAACGCCTTCCTCCTCCTCCTCCTCTTCCTCCTCTTCCTCCTCCTCCTCCTCCACCTCTCCTTCCTCCTCCTTCTCCTTCTTTCTCCTCCTCGTCGTCCTCCTCCTCCCCCTCTTCCTGCTCCTATTCCTCCTCTTCCTCGTCCTCCTCTTCCCCCTCCCGTTCCCACCCTTTTCTCTTGCTGCTGCTGCTGCTCCTCCTCCTCCTCCTCCTACTCATCCTCCTCCTCCCCCTTCCCCCCCTGGTCGTCGTCTTCGACGTCGTCCTCCTCATGAGGAGGAATCAGGACAGTCAGGAATCCGCTTGTGAACGTTCGGGGGGCGCGTGTCCATACGTATACCTTGTGAGCGTTCGGAGAGCTCGCCTATATTGCATTTGGTCGCGATGATGCTGCAAGCTCTTGCATAGCTTTTCCCTTTTCACGTGCTCCCCGATCATGTCAGGAAAATGTTCAAGCTGTGACGAGGTCGGCTCTGGTTCCTAACACTGCGTGACACGTTCAATGAAAGGAGACATATGCATACACATAAACACCGCGCGGATTTCTTGGATCGGCGCTGAGCACCCCTCCCTGGCGCGCGGAGCGCGCCAGGGGCAGTCGGAGCCGCCGCGGGGGGGTGCCCAACGCCGATCGAAGAAACCCGCGCGGAGCGCCACATGTTTTTCGTTGTTGCTTCTCCTCGTTTGGCAACTTCAAGAATGGCGTGCTGGCTGCCGAAATGGTTGGGCCGAACAGGCGCTGAACGCATGGACCGCGCCTGCGCCGCCCTGCAACAAAAAGGCAACCTAAAACAGAAGCTGACCGTGGCAGCACATGGCGCGACGACGGCGGGTCAACCTGCCGTATTCGCGAGCGCTGGGGCGCGCTTCGGCGCCCTGCCGCAGAGCTCTGGAGCCCGTGCGGCGGAGGTCAGCTCGAGACAGGCAGGACCGCCGCCTGCCCGCCCCCTCCCCGTGACGGGGGGCGCCGGGCCCTGGCGCGCCGCGCCTGGGGACGGCCCTGCGAGGCCGGCTCGGTCTCGGGAATCCCACTCCAAGGCTGGCGCGCTGGGGCGCGCGGGAGGGCGGAAGAGCCAGCCAGGCTATGCATCCCGCGAAAGGCATCGTGGGGCACCGACGCAGTAGAAGGAGGATTCATTGTCCTTCGTCGTGGTGCCTCCTCCATATCATGAAGATTGTCTCGGCCGCTTCGTTCATCCTGTCGCTGCCGCTGCCGCTGCACGTGCGGCGCAAGGGAGGAGGCGCCGACGCAAGGCAGGCCAGGGCAGGGCCCCGACGCGCCGCCGACGCCGCGCGCAAGGGCCTTCACGCCCCCCGCCGCCACCTCCTCGGGCACCGGCCCCGGCTCCTCGTCGCCGCGGTGTGCGCGGAGAAGTTGAGCCGCGTGCGCGGAGAAGCTGAGCTTGCAGGTGCCACCCAGCGTCGTGACGTCGAACGCGGTGCATACGCAGAAGGCACCGATGGACCACTTCCCTTCCTGGCCAGGGCCATCCTGGGCCCTGGCATGGTGCATGCGCCTCCTGGCCGAGGCCAGACGGGTCTCTACACCATCATGGAGCCCAGGGTGGCCCTGGCCGGGCACGCTGGCGGTGTATGGATGGCATCTGCAGAATGTAACGGCACGCCGCGCGGTGCCTCGGCGTGGCCCAGCAGCTGGTCCTTGGAGGCGCCGCTCCTGCCCCAACAAGTGATGTGCAGTGTGCAGGCCGGTGGGTTAGGAATGTTCTCGAAGACGAGCTCCTCGTCCCACTGGGGGTTGGGGCCCGGGGCGGTCTTGGGCTCCGTCTACTTCGACTGCAGCACGGCCCCGTCGGGACCCTTCAGGTCCACGAAGATGTAGGGGCCAGGCTGGCTCCTGATGAGCGCGCCCACGCGGGTCGGGAGGTCGGGAGGCCGGTAGGCCGGTGGCACCCCGGATCGTCACGTGGAGCTTGTTCTCCCCCAACACGCCGTTGCCCCACGTGCCCATGTTATCGATCTAAAGCTTCACCTTCGACGACCAGAGATACACGGCGATGCGCGGCTCGAAGTCCTTCGGGACGGGTTTGACGGCGAGCATTCCAAGGGGCAGGGTGGTCTCGCCAAGACGCTTGCTCTCGTCGCCCCCTGCGTCCAGGACGTTGACCGAGAGGGTGCACTGGCATGGGTTCGGAGACGCCCGCGAACGTGAACGCCCTGTCCCACGCCACGTCTGGCTTCGGGCCCTCCTCGGCTGTCCCGGCCCCGGCCTTGGCCTTGGCCTTGGCCTTCGCCTTCGGCTTGGCCTTGGACGTGGCCTCCTTCCCCTTGGCCGTCGCAGTCTTCAGCGTTTTCCCCCATTCGCCCCTCAAGGTGGGCCTGCAGACGGGGTCGGCCCTCCCGCCCCTCCCCTTGCCCCCCGCGGCGAACCCCGCGGCACTCGCGACGCGGCACCTCATGCAGCGCCCCCCCCATGGGCAGAGCGGGCGGCCCAGCCCACTCCGCCGGGGGCTGCTTCTTCAGCGTCTCCGCGGCGAGGGCGCCCCGGGCCCCGCCGCTGCAGACGCTGAACTTGGGCTTCGCGCTGCCAGCGCCCAGCGCCTCCTCGAACTGCATCGGCTCGGCCGCCCTAAGGCGCCGGCGCAAAGCGAATTCCGTCTTCCCGGGGGCGTCGCCCCGTGACAGCGCGCCCCTGTCCCAGACGGACAGCTCGAGCTTGCAGGCCGAGGGGGGCAGGGGGCCGCCGAGCTCGAAGGCATCGTTCCAATGGACTTTTTGGCCGCCCTCCTCGATGACCTTGGTCTTATGGGCCCCCCCTTTCACGCCATCGCTTTCGTCGACCAACTCGATGTAGACGCACGGGTTGCCCTTGTGATTTATGATTACTTGGGCGCCTGTGGAGAAGGGCCCCCTTGAGGGTCAACGGGCAGCGAGTAGCGCACGCGCGCGTCATGCGCGCACACTATATGACACCCGTGAATCTTAGTCACGGGCTGACCGGCTGGGCGCGGCGCATCGCGCCCACAAGCTCGCAGGCCGTCAAGGGGCAGCAGGAGGCAGTAAAGACGTCCCCGAGGTGGGAACAGGTCAAAGGCGGCCTCATTGGTGGCCCAGTACCACCGCCTGGGTAGGATGACGTTCGCTCAGTGCTGTCACTCCCCCATGTCGGGATAGTGCCCGAGGCGGAAATTACTTGTCCGCTGTAGGAGTGTTCGGCCTGGCCATCGCCAGCTGCTTCTTTGTATTCTTGGCCGTCGACTCCAGGCCTGGTGTCATATCATGAGATCAAATACGTGATACGCATGCTAAGAAATCACTGGGCACAGCCTTCGTGAGGCAATCAACTGCTTTAGTGCTGGCGTCGATGCACCGTATCTGGTCACACAAAAATCTACGACGTAAGATCTCAACCTCCTCTTGTCCACGGGTTCATATATCTTGGCGTGAACTATGAAGATCAATGCCCAAGCGTTCGTCTTCCACTTTCCGCAATGGGTGGCGCATTCAAGTACTCTCCCAGGCTCTTGCAATCTGTCATCTCAGACGCCCCATCGTCACGGCAGGAGCCTCTTCCCAACAATTAGGAAGCTCGTGCCTGGCACCATGCCCGCCGCGAGCATCAGCGATGGCAGCGCGGATGCGCGCGCCCAGTTCTGCACCCCAGCGACAAGCCAAAATCTCCGCCTGGAGGGTAGATTTACACGCGCGCCTGATGACCTTACTCGACAGACATATCGGGCGAACGTGATCACTGTTCCCCTCGACAAACCCGGGGCCAACAAGACCGTTGAACCTAGCCCTGTAAGATCTGCGTGGCTCGAGCTGGCCCTTTGCAGCGTCGGTCTCTCCTGCCCAGCTGGCGTCGGTGACTGTGAGAACTATAATGTCCTTGTCCCATTTGGCTGCTCCCTCTTGAATGCTAGTCCACCGTCTGGAGACTGCAAAGCCTCCCCCCAGAGCGCGATTCACTTCCTTGGAATGAGCACTTTTGCGTGACCCCCTAAAGTGTGTAGCCGACTCGCGCGATAAAGCAACTCCGGTTTGCACCGTCGGGTCACCCACGATAAAGCACCAACGACTGACCTGGGTTGGGGTACCTCTCCTGCATTTTAAGTCATGGTGAGGGGGCGATCCCTGGTATTGGATGCAGCCTCAATCTGCGCAGTGTTATCCTTCGCCCTGGCATGAACAGTGTAGTCCGCATCTAAGACAACCTGCAGCCCGCTATAGCGGACATCGCCTGATTCAACTTCCTGAGTATCAAACACCTCCAATGCTGAACGAAGAATCAGTTGGCCCCCGTTGCCCGCAGCCCACTAGTAGATATCATGTGCATGGGTGCCTATCATGCGCGTGACTTCACCGTCGTAACTTGCGGCGCTGAAGCTGGCATGATGCGATTCTCTCTCTCTCTCTCTCTCTCTCTCTCTCTCTCTCTCGCTCTCTCTTTCTCTCTCAATCCATGCGCCTTGAAACGTCGGCGGAACGTCGGCGAATCTCCCCCCGTGAACCTCCACCCGCGTCGCGGGTTCCGTGCGCGGGCATGCCGTCTATAAACGCTCCGCCCTCTGGGGCTCCATCCAGTCCGTGTGGCGGCTTGAGAAAGGCCAAACGGTCGAGTTCTTGCCCCTGGA